TACTTACTTATCTCATGTGTAATCAAGCAACATGATCGCATCTGCTTGCCGTGACCTACGTTCAAGCGATCGTGCTGCGTTATTCATAAGCTTCTATTCGCGAGGCAAAATCTTCTTGCGACGTGCAACATCTGCCTGATGCCCGGCTACCTTGAAGAGCAGGCTCGGACTCTGCTTTCACTTAGGCTCGTGCTTGTTGTTGCTGCCGCAGTTGTGCTTGCTGTAAACATCTGTAGACCTGATATGATTTGCAACTAACACTTTACTTCGTGCACCCATCAAGCTTGCGAGCCACGCCTGGATTCTAGAGAGACGAGATAACAGTGCTTGACTACATGACGTCGTCGACCGATCGTGTCCATTTTGGCTGCAAGACGATGAGTTCGTGACCCCTGTTTCCTTTTTCTATGGACTTGAGAGGGGGAGCACACGTGCAGAGCACATGTGCTCCATGTGTTCTTCGCGGGTGCTCTCCCTTTTTTTTTTTTTTTTGCTTTTTTTAGACACTACATATAAAGCCGAGCCCGAACAGCTGGAAGCAGGAAGATCGCGTGTCAATACCTGCCGAAGAGACTCCTAGTACTACTAGTACGACTAGTATTTTCATTCCAATCGCAGCCGGTCTCTCAGCTTAGCGTCAGGTACGTGGCAGCGCATTGCACCGGTGCTTCAAGAGCACTAGAACCACATGGGCAAGTCCCGCTACGAATAGCTGCAAACTTGCGGCCTACTCAACTTGTCAAGAGAATGGTGCACCAGTGCACCCTTCACTCGATCAAAAGAGTGCAAAATCAGATAAGTAGAAAGCGAAAATGTACAACATGAAAACAGGTCGTAGAGCTATCGACATCGCTACAGCCATCTGTTATGGCATCTTGCATTCATCGTGGTGTTTCTCTGTACAAAGTGCAGTCCTGAGAACGGCAGTGGCCCCAGGAGGGCACACTGAGGACCACGCGCAGCACCCTGTAGTCCTATGAACTGCAAGTGGCCCCAAGAGGGCGCACTGAGGACCACGTTCAGCACCCAGTAGTCCTGTGAACTGCAAGTGGCCCTTGGAGGGCACACTGGGGACCGTGTAGTTCAGTACCCAAGAAGGTCTGGCCGCAGAGCATCGCCAGAACACAGCTTTCTCGCACTTACTAACTGTGACCCGGAAGGACGTAACGTCAAAACCCAGACCACATCTCGAAGCATACGTGGGGCCGGGGCCCAGTGCGGGCCATCCCATCCGAGGATAGGGTAGGTTGCCGCCGCCGGCATTCGGTCAGCATTCGGGACAAGGCAGCGATGATCTGCAGCTACACACTCCTCGGGTATCTGAATAAAACGAGAGGTACACAGGCACAAGGGCTGCGCGTGGCAATGTCGAATAGCTCTATTGCAAGCTGGCATAAAAGATCTCTTGACACATCGGTTCCACTTGTGAGTAGGTCCCTGCTTCCCATCTGTGACCTGAACTCCGTTTAGCTTCGGCACCTGAAGTCGTCGCTGATAGGGAAGGGAGTTGCCTTCCCCAGCTCCAACGGAAAGAGCTGGAACCCTCGCACTGTGGGACACCTGACAATGTAGCAATATAAGTAGAGTCGTCAGTCGGCATCCCACCCCGGACTTGGGACCGGGCCGGCTATCTATAAGGAGGTGTGGCGCTATGCGCTCAATGGGGCGGCCTGACGGCGCGCGCCCAGGAGGAATGCGGGTGGCAGCCACGTCATGCTTGCGCCAGCTGCAGGAAAAGTTGCGCCAACTCCTAGCTGCTGGTAAACACGCACTTGCAACGGGGCTAGCTTCAGACTGACGCGTTGGCAAGCCAGGGGCAAAGGCTTTCAGTCGACCCATGCGCCCTTTGTTGGAGCCAACAGGCACCCAGCTGGCGAGCGTCAACAGTAGCGCTAGTGCGGCTCGCTGCACTATAGGACTGTGATCATCACGTTTCGGAGCCGGGCTCCGCCGCAAGGTTCGCTCCATGGCATAGATGCTACATCTCCACAACTATAAGTCCCGCTGCTGGGACACAGCTGAGCCGGAGTGCTTAGTACTACTAGTACTACTAGTACTACTAGTACTACTAGTACGACTAGTACTACTAGTACTACTAGTACTACTAGTACTACTAGTACAACAAGTACTACTAGTACTACTAGTACTACTAGTACTACTAGTACTACTAGTACTACTAGTACTACCTACTAGTACTACTAGTACTACCTACTAGTACTACTAGTACTACTAGTACTACTAGTACTACCTACTAGTACTACTAGTACTACCTACTAGTACTACTAGTACTACCTACTAGTACTACTAGTACTACCTACTAGTACTACTAGTACTACCTACTAGTACTACTAGTACTACTAGTACTACCTACTAGTACTACTAGTACTACCTACTAGTACTACTAGTACTACCTACTAGTACTACGTACTACCTACTAGTACTACTAGTACTACTAGTACTACTAGTACTACTAGTACTACTAGTACTACTAGTACTACTCGTACTACTAGTACTACTAGTACTACTAGTACTATTAGTACTATTAGTACTACTACTACTACTACTACTACTACTACTACTACTACTGCTTCTTCTATTCGCTACAACAATAACGACGACGACTGCTCCTACCACTACCACAACGACCAGGTACACTTTCGCTCACCAACGATGACCACAGCCCGTGATTTCTTCGTGATGTTTCTTGATGGCGGGTTGATCTCGGGCGGTCACCCTTTCAAAGTTCAATACAAACTCAAAAACTCGAACTTTTCAAATGTGACCACCGGTTACGTCCGCCGTTTGTGTTTGATCTAAAACCGTTGCATGTGGGAACCCACGTTTGCCTCCAAATCCTTAACATGCTTTGACATGGGCAAAATTGTTCAGTTCGCCTGTCTGTCAATCCATTGCTTACAAATCCTGGATATACTTTTCAAGAACAAACTTAAGAAACCAAGAACACACCAACATATACAAAATACATATGACGTATCTTATAATTTCCCAAAAGCTTCAAATAGAAACGGAAGAACATATTCCAGAAATAGAATTAAAATTTTTCGAATATTCCAGTATGCTTGATAGCACACATGTAAACATCTTTTTGTTTTAAAATGATCTGATCTGGCCTAGTGAGCTTCAGATGCTTTCAAAGAACGTCTTAGGAGCAAATACGCCCCCTGAAACGCTTTTCGGCATGGATGCAGAGTGCTTCACACCACATGCTTTCGCAAAGAAAAAAAGCCCCAGAGAGTTCTCACACGCTCATCTTCTTGGTCTTCCCTGGTAGTCGCAGTCATGAACTTGGTTACGGCGCCCGTACACGCCCCTGGGTTTTTTTGAGACTGACGCGTTTTTCATGAATACGCGCGAAACCCAAGCGGGAGCGCAATTTGAAGTAAAATTGTGCTTGAGGCAGGTGCGCGAAACACTAGAGGGTGAAGTAAACTTTGGGCCTAACAGTGTTTTCGCTCGGGTTCTGAACTGATTTTCGAAGAGGCTGCAGAACAAAACTTTGTTTTTAGAAAGAGTTTTGGAGGATGTATGGCTGAGTTTAAAGGATTTGGGATTTGAAGGCCGGGTCATGGGTTTTATGTTGAGGGTGTTTTTTGCTTGCAGGGTAACGCAGTAAAACCCAGTTTTTTGGGCATAAAGCGCTGTAAACACCAGTGTTTTGGGCATGGTCGCGAAAGGCATGGACGCTTGTGAGAGATTTTTTTGTTCCACTTTCTTTGTGCAGTATGTTCAAATGCTGTAAATACCAGTGTTTTTTGGCATAAAATGCTGTAAATACCAGTGTTTTGGGCATGGTCGCGAAAGGCATGGACGCTTGTGATAGATTTTCTTGTTCCAAATCCGTGTGCAGTATGTTGTACAAAGAGGCGAAAACGCTGTAAATACCAGTGTGTTGGGCAGGACACAGTATGAATGAAGTTCTTATCCCCCCCTCCAGCCCCCCCCCCCCAGCCCCCGCCAGCCCCCCCCAGCCCCCCCCGCCAAGCCCCCCCCCCAGCCCCCCCCCCCAGCCCCCCCCCCCAGCCCCCCCCCCCCCCCCCCCCAGCCCCCCCCCCCCCCCCACCCCCCCCCCACCCACCCCCCCCCCCCCCACAAAATCCTTGAAACCTGCAAAAACGCAGGGGCGCGTAGAGGCGCCGCCACCATGAACTTGAGGCCCACTTTCAGTCTTGCATGCGACAGTTTCTTCAGACTTTGTCCATGCACTTGTACAGCTGTGTACGGGCAGGCTTCAACTTATGCTTGCCCAAGACAAATGTTCCACGAAGCCGAATGCGAGGCGCAGAAAAGAGAGCTGAAAACGAGAGCAGACGAGATTGGAAAGATGTAAGAAGAGGCCGAGAAACCAAGGCAGGTGTTGCAAAGGCAATTGGAAGCGTACAAGAAGACAAAGGCGAAATAGAAAAACGCGCGAAGAAGGCACGAAACTGCATACCCGTGGGCATTTGTCAAGGCCATTATGAGCTACTCTGCGAGCAGCAAACGTGTGGTTACCATTGTGCGGAGGGTCATGATGTCGTTGCAGCAGCCTATAATAGCCTGTGTGTTGCGCAGAGAAGCAAACGTGTTTTGCCGGGAATGCTTGTGTTCAAAGAGCCAAAAGTCCGCTGAGAAATGAAGTGTTGAGATTCGCGTCCGCGCGCTTCTTGCAATGTTTGGGGATGCATCTTTTGTAAGTTGAATGTGATGCTTTGCAGCATTCCTGAGTTTTCGCGTAAAGTTTGCGACAAAAACGTCACTGTCAAGATGGTTTGTAAGAGAGCATGCCGCAAAGATCAAGGACATTTTCGTTCAAAGTGCTTGTACACCTCAATGGTCTTACAACGTACTGAGAAGGTTAACCAAAGGTTTTTTCCAGCATTTCCTGCTAGTCCCTGTTTGAACACGGATATGCATGCCAAGCTGAACGCATGTTGTGTGACCGACATGCTTGCATACTGTTGCCACTGCGTGTCAGAAAGTTTTTGACCGGTCGAGTAGCCATGGCAGAAGACGGACTGGTGCAGATCCTGGTGCGCCTTTTGATGCGCGTTTGAATCTGCGGGCAAGTTTGTATGTTTAGCGGTCATTTCATGCTTGCAAGCAGGCACTCCTTGTGTTGGACACTGACGGTGGGCGTTTGGCCGTCAAGTACAATTCATATGCGCGCAAGGACTCGTCCGTTCCAAGGGCTTAAGCAGTGCTTGGGTATTCCATTGTGGCATCTAACGTTGTACGAGTTTTCTTGGTAGTTTGAAGCAGAAAGGACCTCTGGCCGACCGTCAAGCAGCAAGTTGCCTTTGAGAAACGGGAGTTGCTCTCAGCTCTCTCGTGTAGCAATCCGTAGAAATTCTCACGTCCATGCGGTGTGAGGTCATCAACAAGCTGCCCAAACCATCTGCGACTCGAAGCGATGTGGACGTGGCAGTGATTGATGATTACACGGTGATATTTCAGGCACGCTGAACAGGTCGTCCAGTTGACACATTGAGCTTACAGCAGAGTTGGATGGTGCAGGCCTGCAATGACGTAGTTGTGGCCGCCGTAGCTGCATCTAGCGAGAACGAGCTTGTCATGCTGGAGCTTGTGAGAGGCTGAGTTTGGTTTGCGCCAGAATGTCAATTGGCACATCAGGTTGAAAATGTGAGTTCGTTTCAACGTCACATGCTGCCTGAGGCGGAAGGCATGTACAATGCCCTCTCGAACGCGTGCCAAAGTCAAAGCTTTTTGCTTCGGCCTCGGCAGGTGAAGTGTTGGGGTGTTCCGGCGTGAGGCGTGAACTGTTAGCCGCTTTTCCAAAGGTCATCAGGGTTGACAAAGCAGCTCGTGCTGGATAGTCTTTCCGACGTTCTCTTCATCCTGGATGAGGTCCTCAAAACGCTTGAGCAGAAGTTTGGGTGATGTTGTGGCGTATACATCACCTGCCAGGTCACCGACAACGGTGTCATAATGGAGACAGATGACGAGAAGATCTCGGCGCGAATCAAGATGATTGATGAGACGGAAGTTACTCAGAGTGCCCAGGTGCGGATCCGCAATGGCTGTATGATGTTGGAACAGTCCGTGCAGTGCTGACAAGTCAGGTATGCTTGTTGTTTTCGAGCTTGCTTGTTTGTTGAAGAGTGCCCCCACGCCACAACAACAGCTTCCGAACGCATAGCACGTCGTTGTCGATTGGACGTGCAGGCCGAACAGATGTTCCAAAAAGCGACTCAAAGCAGGTTGCTCAGGATGAGTTCGTTTTCGTATTGTATTCAATGTATGCCTGCCTTAAACCTTCCGCTTTGCCCAGGTGCGAAGCAGAAACTGCTTGGATCGCTGATGGGCAGTCGGGGTTGAGGCCTCTCGGCATTGCTGCCAGACAGTGCGTCCGGCACTTCTTGCATTCGAAGGGCTTCCCTGTCCTCCGTATCGCGCCCTCTCGTTAGCTTGGCAGGAGTCCCATTCGCATGCAAAAACTGACGAGTTTCAGCTTATCAATCTTGTTATTCGTGGTGTCATAGATGTGGAGTGGACATTCCTGCAACTTTGTGTATCACATGCCGCTCGTCCCTCTTTCAGGGAGATTGGCAATCGGCGTACTCTGCCGCTACGTGTCTTTGTGCGCGTCCCACATTGTCTCCATTGACAATAAAGACTACAAACAAAGCTCAGTCTCAGCTCGTCTGAGCTGGGTGTGCAGGGTGGTTAATGGGCGGTTCATTACGTTGTCAGATCTTGTTCTCTTTGTCATGGTTTTGCTGGTGCTGCGCATGTATCCCCATACAGGACTCCGGACAGGGCGCGTGCGCTTGAAAAGTTTCGCTGTGAGATCTGCTCGTTAACCGCCACAGCTGGCAGCGGCTTGCATACACACTTTCGACTGCATGTAGCCGCAGGGCTCATCAGCCATGTTTGTTTGAGAAGCTTGCAGAATCTGGAAGAGCAGACAGAACTTTTCGCACGTGCACAACTAGGAGTATTGTGATGAGTAGGTAGGGTCCGTGGCGTGTGCTTGAACTGGCAGCGTCGGAAGTGAAGGCAAAGATGAGAAGGACATGTAAGGACGTCTGCTGGTTTCAAGAAGAGAGAGAACGGCGTCCATGTCGAGGTGCAACCGATGATTCCGGAGTTTATCGACCCGGACGAGGCTGTCGTGAGCGGATGGTGGGATCCCCGGCTTGGCGACTCCAATTTGTCGGAGGAACCTCTCTGACATGTTCTTGTGCTGCTCCTGCCGCACACATGTTGCGCTCCAGGTTCACCGACTACCAGAGCACTTCTGAGGGAGGGGGAGGCCCACCATGCCAGACCGGCACTCCCACTTCTGACTTTTTGAAGCAGGTGAAGGGATGTCTTGGCTTGCTGCAGTTGCATCTCGACCGCACAGGCCTGCCTAGGGCATCCTGCTGAGAGTGGGAGATTCAGGACACTGTCACCTTGCCTGCCAGGTCCGAGAGGCTAGGTGTTGGGGCAAGTCCCCCGGCGAAGGCCTGGACGACTGCCTGCCAAGATCTGCCAAAAGATGTGAACAGACATGCTTGATTAGTGTGCAGGAGGAGCGGGCCAAAGAGTTGCAACCACTGGGCAAAGCTGCTCGCAAAGCAATGAACAGAAGGCCGAGGTATAATGCCGTTCATGCTTCATATTGGACTGGCACATGCTGGCCTCTAATGCGGCATGCTGTGGGTGTGGGAAGCGCACGCAAGACGTGCAAACCTTGCGAGCGTGCGGTCAAAGTGTGTCTGAGTACAGATTGGCAGGCTCCGTCGTGAACAAGAGGAGGCGGAGTATGCGGCTGAAGGCTGCCAACTGAATCGAGTTGCGGTTGTAAGGAGCAATTGGTGAAGCATCTTGCCAGCTCGTGGGTTGAAAAGGATCCAAGATTCTGACGCTCGGCTCCAGCACCTTCATCATGCAGACAGAAGGTGTTGCACCGTAGTTCTAGCATCCTCCCATCAACTCTTTAGCTTCTCTTTTAAGGTCAGTATCACCAGAAGTCTCAGACAACAGCAGCATTACTAATACGGCTCACTGTGCCACAGCCTCAACCAAAAAGCCAGCAACCGGTTTAGCGCAAACGGGGGGTTTGGTAGCAAGACGACCAAAGCGCTGCCATCAGTCCCGCAGCACTACTGCTCCTTGGCTTATCTTGATGACATCTGCAAGGGACCTTGCAGTTTGTCTGCAGTTCTCGCTAGGACTCCTCACTTCTTCGCCACACAGCCTTTTTGCCATGCTTGAACAAGATGTGGACATCACCCTCAAGGCAGAGTGCATGCCGCCCCACTAATTCTTTCAGATGACAGAAAGTTCTACCAGGTGATCGTCGTCGGAAATGGGCAGGTGGGCAAGACGTCCATGCGTGCGTCCCAGCATGCGTCAGTGATCGTTGAAGTTGTCCATCCCGAGAAAGTTATGCAGGTTGATTGCCTACCCAAGGATCACCCGCTTTGCGAAGGGTATCTTCACCAACGAGTACAAGAAGACTATTGGCCCGACTCCGAGAGTCGTGAGAATCAGAGTTCGCCACGGGCCTCGCGAGCCTCTCCAATGTCGTGAGGTGTGGATTTCCTGGAAAAGAGGACGTTTTTGAAGGATGTGGGCGAGGAGGTGGGCACCAAGATCACACAAAGCATACTTGGCAAGCGATCGTTGGTGATCATCACATTGGGAACTGAGTGCTTTCGGTGATGTTCTGTGCCTGCCTCAAGGTGACGTACCTCTTGTGGGACACTGCTGGGCAGGAGGAGTATGATGCCATCACCAGGGCATACTACAAGGCCTTGGAGCGTGAAAGCAGCCGGCACATGTCATATATAATCAGAAAGTCATCCCCATGTGCGCTGCAGGGCGCCGGTGCCTGCATATTGGCTTTTTCCACGACTGACCGAGACTCCTTTGATGCCATTGAGTCTTGGTACAAGAAGGCCCTTGCTCTGTTGTCCGTTGTCGTATGTGCCATATCTCTACTCCATTGATCACACATCACACAGAGTGGAACGATGGGGTGATTCGGAGGTCCATGATGAGTGCGGCAACCTCGTGATGGTGCTCGTGCAGAACAAGGTTCGTGTGACTGCAGCCGATGCAGGATGCGGTAGCTGGCCGTACTGTAGCTGGTGCAAGTGTGAGATATTTCGTGGTGCGTGCTTTGGGGGATGTAGCTTTGGCAACTTGGCCCAGGTGGACCTCCTAGATGAAGCAGTGGTGGAAGCCAAAGAGGTTGAGACGCCGCTTGGGAAGCACACGTGAGCACATGTGGACACAACATGGAAAGGGAAGTGCAAAAAGAGGTAGAGGGGGATCTTGGCATGATGCAATGCATATGAAATGGAAGGCTGGCGAAGAAGCTGCGCCTCAAGCTCTACAGGAGACCATGTTTTGATGGGGTGGCCCTGTAGAAGAAAGTAGCGGCGAATGGGATAAGGGCCCGTGGAAGAAAGTGCAGACACGTAATCAACAAAGCTGTTGCTTCTGCGAGCTGCTCGGCCCTGCTGGAGGGCACGGCCGGGATAGGGGGATGCTCCTAAGTTTTCCAGGGCCGTGCCGAAGAAGCGAGGCTCTCTCGGAAGGGACACGGAAGTTAAGTCAAAGCCAGGAAGTAAGTTGCACCGGAAGTTGCGCCGGAAGAGGTGCGGAAGACAGAGACTTTTGGAGAGGAAGTTGCTATTGCTCCACCAAAAGGCCCAAGCTGGGGCCTTCGGAAAATGCCATCTAAGAGTGCAAAAAGACAATGAACTTGGCTCTGCCAACGTGTGCACTAACGCATGTGAGTTTTCCATCCAAGTTATGAAGCAGTTGAGATAGCATCAAAAGCTTTGTTGTACTTTATGGTGAAGCGCCCCCTCCATTTCTAGGACGTGCGTCAAAGATGACCTGAACGTCAGCGAAGTTGTGGCCTCAACGAAGCGTCTGGCACGTCAGTGGCATTTCGCTACGTAGTACCGGAAGCTGCTTGAATCCGGTGCATGCTACAAGTTGTACAAGTACAATTCTGTGCTTGATGGCGCTTGATGGCGCTTGCTGCATGCTGCTGCCGTGGCAGACTTGTATTGCCCACAGGTTTTCAACCACCTGGGTAACGAGTTTGTAAAGAACGGGGGCGAGGCCCAATGCGCAGTTTGGAGTGTTCTCGATGCAGCATCGAGCCCAACGTAGCAGCAGTAAGCATGCAGTAAGCTCATGAAAACAGGGTGTTTCAGATGGTGACGTTTGAGGCCTCCGTCGGCCGAGCCGGCATGATGTCGATAGAGGAGGCCAGGTGCTCATGGTGCTCTCCACGTGTTAACCGCTTCTGCTCTGAGCAAATGCTCTCCGCAAGTCGCTATAGTCGCTCCAAGCGTTGCGCGCAGGTTGCGTCGAAGCCGATGGCAGCACGGAGCCCAGGTGTCAACACTCCGCGCGTTGGGAACGTTTGGGAACCTGCGATCTTGAGACGTTGAGACATTTGAGACTGAGAATCCGAGGAAAGAAGTGCAGCTGCCAAGGCTCACATGGCTCACCAACACCGTCCAGATGTTCGCATGGTCTCCCCAGTGCCAGTGCCAACGTCACCACGAAACCCCCGACTCTGTCGAAGCTTTCAATCGACTCCTGGGATATCGGTGCCTGTAACTTTCTTTCGCGCCGGGGTTGTCTCCAGGCGGGACACGCAGCTCCAGCAGATGATGCTGCGGGCGACCAGCCCTTCAAGCTCTCGACTCTCAGTTAGATCGTTAGATCTCTCCTTTTTAGTCTAAGCTGACGGATGCTTCGAACAGAAAACGGAACAACACCCCAAGCCCTTTAGCATGCATGGGTCTGCATGGCAACAAAATCCATGTAAAGCGTCGGGACCACCTGAAAAGCGACACCCCTTGACATGGGACCCAGCCCCCGTTACATGCAGTTGAGACGGGCTGCATGCAGTTGCACGCAGCTCTAAGTACTTCCCGTGCCTCCCAGGAATGGGAAGCCATCCGTGCAGCGAACCGGCGGAAAGAAATCCATCAAATGCAGCATCTTATGAGGCAACGACTTCGTTTCACTTCACGAGCGACGTCTGGCTCAGTCCACCAGTGATTTTGCAGCAAGCCAACTTGTGAGCGAATTTGCGCACATCTTGGACTTCCTGTATGCGAGATGTGCACAGGAAGTTGTGGGACAGTTTTTTCACCTCCCTTGGCTCCTTCCCCACATGCTTGGGAATGCCATTCCTGCTTCAATGACTGAAACTCACGCCAGGTCAGTGCGACCTCAACTGATACATCTAGCCTTCTAGCTAGGGCTGTTACGCTAAGGCCGTGCTGAGCAGATTGGCAAGGATGTCTTGTCTGCTGCATTTTCGGATAATGCCAGAATTCGAGCACTGGCTGTTCGAGGGAGAGGTCCCTACTTGACAGCAGAATTGACTTCGAGCCACCGCAGGGCCGCAAGAGCCAAGTCAAGCTGCAAATGGCAGATCTAATGGCACCCATAAAAGGCCCATTTTCACTATATTTGTGTGGTGGTATACAGCCCAGCTGCCACAGCTTGTGGGTCTCTGCAGCACATTCCCCTGACTTCCTTTGCACGGCATTTTGCAGTGAAGAAGGCTTCCTTGCTTCCGCATCCGGTACTCCTACCCCTTTGAGTCCGGAGGGATGTGGGCTTGTAAGTATTGCACCTCGCGCAGAGGTGTTCATGTGGGTCAGGACGCCGCCAGTTGGAGAAGTTCGGTGGCGTGAAAGGCCCATCCAAGCCTTGCTTGTGACTGCCGCGCTCATGAAAGGCGAACTTGAGTAAGGGTTTCAGTGGGGCGCGCAGGCTTATCCGGCAAATCCTCACAGGATGAGAAGGGCAAAGGGCCCCAGAATTGCAGAACTCTGGCGAGATGGCCCTGGCTGTCATTTTTCATCACTCAACATGAATATGAGGCCGCTCCTCAAGCACTGGGCGGCAGCTTGCACCAACACCCTCGAAAGGACGTGCCACATCATGCCACGCAGCTCCGTTTGTGTCTGTTGGGTCTGGAGCTGGCCCTTCGCCTAGTTGGAAGATCTCATCACGAGTTCTGCGGAGGAGCTGGCAGTGGAGGACACAGCCTGCATCTCTCGCTGAGAGCACCGTGCGGGTGAGGGTTGCGCCGTCCCAGCACTGGCCGCGCTTGAGAGGGGTTCAAGATGGTTCAAGCACCCAGTGTGCAGCCGTAGTCTGCAAGGCAACAGACAATGTTCACGGCAAGTATATCATGTGTGCAGCATGCTGATACGAGAGATTTGTAGTTTCATTGATGTCGCAGGGCAACACTGGCAGTCTACTTTTCTTCAAGCCCTTTCCCGAACAGTACTACCAACCAAAGTTTCACACATCCCACGATTTTTCGCAGATTTCGATACATTCCGCTCGACAGGACCAGGGCAGAGAGTTTTCCCTGTCTTAGGCTGACACTCGCAGAGACTAGCAAGGACTCACTTCTGCAGTACGAACGACAAGCCTCAGATGCTCGGATCTTCGGCAGCGGCCAGGCGACGGCCCTTTTTTCATCTGACGCTCGTGATGACTTGTACCTTGATACCTTGAATCCGAAGGGCCCCGGGGCTCAGAATGGACAGGCGCTACCTTCAGCTGCGCCTTGGCTTCCCAGAAGAGGAGGGAGGCCTGGCACGGGACACGGAGTGGACACGGTGCCTTGACGACTTGACGATGGCGTGTGTTTCGCGTGTGCCTCGTGGTTGTGGCAGGTGTACTGGATGGGGGGGAGGTTGCGGAGGCGCCTTCCGAATCCCTATGACCTGCGGCCCCTGCCCCCCCTCTTCGCCTTCAAATGATCAGCCCCTCTCCTCCAGGTGTCCCGTGCGTCCAAGCCCGGGAATCTGAAGAGAAAGCAGGCACCACTTGTGAGATCCATGTCCATCCAAATCTCAAAGTACAGCTCAAATCTTTTGGCAAGAAACAACTATATTGCATATGTATATATATAGGCATATACATAGTAGTACATGCGTGATCATGATGCGGGTTATGCTCTGCCTTGGCCGGCGCAGGATGACCTCTTGCCCAGCCCCTCTGCCCGCAGAAGGCTTTGGCGGGCTCAGGCCCGGTCCCGTCTCCGTGGCTCTGTGGGGGCTCTGTGGGGCTTCTTCATTGGCCTTATGACGAAGACTCAAGGAACCAGTGAGCCATGCGAACCTGTTTGCACTTTTGCCTGGGTGAGCTGCAACTGAGATATGCTTCTAGCATGCGAATTTCCCCACTTAACTTAGCCCTTACCATGTTTAACATAGTCAATTCATGGCCCTTTCGTGCGGCCCCAAGTCAAACCCTAGACATAATCTACTCGCAGTCTCAAAGCCAAAGCGCCATGGCATTGGATCGCGGGGCGGAAATCCCAGTGAATCCCAATGTCACCAAGCACCTTGCCGCAACAACGTTTTGCAGTATTCTGAGTGGCTGATAGGAAGAACTCTCCATTTCTCTTGCTCATGACACCATGAGTCACCTGAGGTATGGCGTGGCTGTTTCCTGGGACAAGGTCGGGACTTGGAGTGGAGCCCAAGCCCGTGAAACTTCATTAACAAAAGGAGCTTGAGCCCAAACTCCCTGATGCCAGGGCATGCATGCTGTAGATGTGGATCTGCAAGCCGTCATCGTGGACCAGAAAGGCGCCCAAGTCTCAGATCCTTGGGGGCCATCTTCGCGAGCAGTAGGTCTTCAGTAGGTTCTGTATGCCTTGCTTGCGTGAACGCGCTTGTTGGGCTTGCTCTTTTAGGTCATCGTCGACGCAGCGTACTACAACAACATGAAAGCTTTGAGGCGCCTCACTCTTTTGCACATTTTTTCTACGGGCATTCTTCGTGTTGGAGTGCTGCTGCACGGTAAGGTGTGTGACGCACTCCGGAGATGAGCAAACCGGAGAGAAGACCGGCATGGATGAAACCGTGTGGGTCATGTGTCCTGGAAGCAAGCAGAAGGACAAGTACGCCAACTGCTCCATATGGAGCACATCATAGTCATAGTGATACATATGTTAAAACCATATTCATAGCCATAGTAATAACCACAGCAACCCTAATTACCACAACAAACAGTACTACCTAGAGAGGTCAGCTGTGATTGCTTTGTATGCGATGGCAAAGAAAAGCTGCTGCCAAGGATGCCCAGGGTCCCTGCGGAGGCTCTGGGTCCAACTAGGGAGGGGCCTGCTCTCTTGCGCCGAGAGTTTGGGACTTCCTTTGCGGGTTTAGGGTTTTAGGGTTTTAGGGTTTTTGGGTTTTAGGTTTTTAGGGTTTTTGGGTTTTGGGGTTCTAGGGGTCTTGGGACAGGTCAAGCTGATTGTCTTCGTGGTGGCCGCGCACAACCGCTTTGGGCTCAGTCGAAACTCGAATCAGGGCAGAACCTTTGGCTCTGCCTCGTGCTACGGACTCACACCCGGTAAGTCTCAGGTGGGCAGCTCAAGGATGTGACAAACGGCCTCCTTCATGTGCTGGAGGATGTTCCTGGCAACGAGGTTGCGCCGCCTGCCCGAACCTGTCTGATGTCTGGCGGGTGCGAAAGCAGCCCTCCCTCTTAACGCAGCTGCCTACTGGTTGCGTGCAACTATGATAAGGAGCTTTCGGATGGATCGGACTGCCAAAGAATGTGATGCAGCCGCGAGCCGAGTGTCTCAGGGCCAACCCCTTGCCAAGCATCCAGCGGCCATCATGCCATGATGGCCAAGTCATCTCCCTTGCACCTTTTTGCCCTCGCTTCAAGAAGTTGATAAATTGCATATACATAGACATATATATATATATCTTTATTTGATATATTGTACAGTATATACTATATATATATATATGTATATATATATATATAGAGTAGCTTGTAGATTATATACTATGGCAAGTTGAGGTCTTCATGATGATCCGCTCCAACGCCGGGGATTGGAGCCTCCATGTGCTGGACGAGCCCGCCCAACCAGGCCCTGCACTCCTCCGCTGGAGAATGGGATCTCCTTCAGATTTCACCCGCCTTTCCTTTCCAACCCGAAAAAGCCCCTAAAACCCCTAAACCCTAAGCCCCCCTTAAGTAGACCCCTAAGCCCTAAAACTCCTAGACCCCTAGGCCCCGGAAAGCCCCAAAGTGTCGTGCTTGGGGAGTCGTCTCCTCTCGTCAGGTCGGCACTTCATGGACATCCTGGAGCCCACGCTGGGGAACTTGATCCGTGCGCAGATCCCTGGTGCGCCGAAGCGCCAGAAGGCCTTGTGTGTCATCTTTCGTGCATGATTCGGCCTAAGAGGGGGATATTCGGATGTTCAATATTGATAGCAAAGTATCATGAAACTGTGATGCGAATATGTATGCTTATGTATGATATGGCCGGCGTGACATTCGAAAGCGTCCGCGGTACAGGTGGCCTTCGCCATGGAGAAAGGGTCAATGGTTGAGCTCCCGCCGCTGGGACGCGTCTACTGTACCCGTTGCCATGTTTTTGTGCCTTTGCGGGCTCACTGAGACTGCTAAGCTGCTATAAGCTGCTAAGGCAGACCTCAGACGTGGGCAAAATCAAGGCCGGCTTGGGCTGGGATGTGAAAGCCGGACCTGGGCCAGATGTAGACTTGGCCTCTTCGCCGCAGCGAGAATCTGAGAAGTGAAGGGACCCCCCACGCGCTCCATATGAAGTTTTTGTTCGCGTGGTGAAGAATTCTGATGAAGCTGAGGATGTGTCCGTGGTGTTTTTCGCAAAAGACGGGCGGGACCTGGGAGCAGTCTTCTTCGGAGAGCAGGATGCTGTAGCCGCTGCAAGAGAACCTCACGAAGCTTGCGCTAAGTCCGACACCCGACTCTCTAAGCCACCAGCACCGAGAAGTATGAAGTCTGATGAAATTTGCGGTGAGGAGAAATATGGGGTTGTGCACAGCGGGGACAATTTGACAGGCAGGGGCTGAAGAGATTCCCATGGCATCAAGCGATGGAGCAGCTGGTTTTCTATACCATATGTAGTACGTGGTTCAGCTAGATCTCTTAGATCTCTTCTCATCCTGCTCTGATTGCATGTAGATTCCAAAGTCTTGCCAATCTTGCCACACGGTTTTCCCCTTTGCGCCTGGAGACAGCTCTCGTGACTCGAAGAGTCGGCTATTGGAGCTGCGCTCCGCACCAAAAGCGGACTACTGCAATTCGAGAAGCGAGTGTCGTCGATGCTTGTGCAGGTGAAGGGAGTGGAGATGACGAGGTCATAACCGTGGACTTGGCAGCTTTGCCCGACACCGTCACGCAGCAGCTCAATTGCAGTAGTCCGCACAGCTGCAGTGTCATGCAGAAAGCTTCGTGTGGAGACTTGCCTCCACGTGTCATGTGAGTCGTGCCTGAGTTGGACCAGGATGGTTTTCTCAGTGAACATTTATACCCCCAACATCACCTTTGACAGAGTCTCCAATGCCTACTGCCGCATGTGCAGCCAGGACCCACGAAAAATTAGGAAGTCCTTGTGCGACTAACTTCTGAAACCTGCGTGTCGCGTTCTGTCGCAGGACGGCACCGAGCTGGCGCGGTACGTCCTGCGGGAGGCCCGAATTCGGAAAGTGTTTTCCAGTCGCTCTGAAGCCTCTAAGACATGCTACTGTACTGTGCTACTGTAGGCATTGTGAGATTCGCTAGCGAAATGACGCCCCACTTGGCCCGGAGTTGCTGGACTCTAACGTGAGGCAAGGGGTGAAACTGGTCTGCTCATCGCCCGGCTGATGCGCGAGCCTGGGCCTAGCCGCTGGGGCTTCCAGGCAAGCCATGCTGTCGTTTGAAAGGCTGTGTTATGCTTAAGCACGTTTGAGCCATATCGGTAGAGTTACATGGCTCGCCCACCACATGCCCCCTAGTTTTCTTGCCAGTTCTTAGACGAGCTCGGAGAGTTTCCACAGCTCGCATCCCGCATCAGTCGCGCAGGCCGTCGGAACTTTCTGCAAGGGCCGCACCTGGAAAGACTCTCTGAGGGTCGCTTAGCAGCAGCGGTGATGGTGTTGGTGTGAAGAGCTGTGGATAGCTGTGGCATGCTTTGGCAGCGATCAGTTTCTTTGCTGAGGACATGGGCCCGCTGGTTCAATCCACAGCGCGCCAAGTACAGATGCTGACGATGCAGCCACGTGGTGTGAATTTTGCTTTCCTGCCTTTGCAGGCTACAGGGTCATTTGCAATAGCCCGTGTAGCATGTTTTGTTTCAAGCTTCGTGTAATGAGCATGTTTTAGCTTTTTTTGGTTTCTTTTCAGGTCCACCGCTGACTTGGGTCTCTCCACCGCGGCCGGCTCTCGGGAAAGGCCCATCATGGCCACTGTCCGACCCCTAATGGGCTGGACTGAGTATATCAGACGACGTCCCTGGACCCTGCACCTCCTTCTTCCTCTTTGTTTTTCTGTTTTTAGGTGGTCAGGCCTTTTGTCGCTCTCTTGACATTATAGCCTGTATTTCCCGTGGCATTAGAAGCACAAGGACTGTTCACATAGCATGATAATTACAATCTCATAGTGCTACCAAGCGAAGAGAACATAATTATAATGAAAGGAAACGAATAACGCGCGCTTGCATTATCATTGTGTTTTAGTATTCACGCGTCTTTTAAAGGCGCGTACACTGTACTTGTTTTCACGGGCGAACACATGTCTTTTATTATGCCCGTACGAAGCAATACAAGTGAGTGAACTAAATCATAAGTTTACGCATGCATGTAGTGAATGAACGAAACACACATAATGAAAGAGCATAAAATTTCAATTGAGACTATATGGAAGTGAACGAAGTGAGTGAACGCATGATTTCTAATTGTAAATTTGGGCCTGTGTATGTTCCTTCGCTCATACAAAATTCGTGCAATCGTTTCACTCATTTTCAGTTTTATTTCGTTTATTCACTTCCTTTAATATTAAGAGACGAAGAGAGTACGATGAGCTACGTTTACCAGCGTAAAGAAGTGAAGCGGGTGAATCCAGTGAATGTACGAACGAAATGCACGCCCCAAAAATACTATGAACAAAAGCCTGCATTATTTAACCTTTTGTCATATTATTATCGTTATTTGTTATTATCATTATTATTCTTCCTATGCTTTTATTACGGGCTAAAGCACAAAGACCCAACGGTGGGAGCGAACCACCATGATAGGGAACCCCGCCTGGTGATCAAATCCTGGATTCATAACCTGGATTCTTCTGTACCAACTTTGAGACTTGGATTCATCACCCAGTTCTTTCTAGCGGCTACAAATGATTTCCTCTTCCAAAATCCTGTCCCAACGTTAAGGTTGTTCGCGACGTGGAGGTAAAGGCGGTGAGAGGTACAGTCGAGTCGCCTGACACGACGCTTGGCAGAACTTGTGGCGGAGGCCATGGCCTTTTTGTTGCAAAGGTTTGGCATCCTTGGGAGCTGCCTGATGGGGTTCATGGAGCTTCCAGAATTTGTAGACCAAGTCGGAGCAGACAAGGAAGTCCTGCGCGCTGCAGTGATGCTCCTTGCCGCCTCTCGAGTGCAGGCAAGGCAGCGAATGTACATAGACGCTCGAGAGCGCCACCCTCATGAATCCTAAGTGCTTCATGATGGCTCATCTCAGTTGGACCATCGCCAGGTTTGTTAGTGCAAGGACGTCTCTAAGTCCCGTTATTGCTTCCCACTGAGGATCCGCGGTTATGTTTCGTGCAAAGTCCTGCGCGCAACAGAAAAAAGGGCCCCCCCTTGCGATTGCAGAAAGTCTGTGCTCTGCCCTCCAGCGCCGCAAGTCTCAGCGTTTCATCCGATCCGCCTAAGCCATCCTGATGTTCCCCATGCTGGTCTCATTCTAATTTGCCTAGTAGATGGCAAGGCTAAGCCTGAAAGCCTGTGAATGCAGAGCCCTCTGGTCTTGCCGAGGTGAAGCGTAATTTGATTTAGTTCACGTGTTTTGCATGTGTGTTTGATGAATGCATGACAGGTCCCCCACTTGTACGATCTGGTTCCTTGGACGCAGGGCAGTAGTGCCACTGTTTAATCCAGTCTCTGTGCTCGTCATGATTATTGTTTAGTATGACATGCAGCCGAGGTCGTGGCCCATAGCAGATCTCCGGGCATTTCGGCTTTGGCATGGTGCCTCGCCTTGTTGCGAATCGAGACCTCGGACGTGAGTGGCCGTGTGTTTTCGTGTGCGAGGTGTAAGACTGTAAGAGCAACCAGCCGAGGCCTTCTGGTGCTGCCCGGATCAAGAAGAACGCCGTGCTTCAGCGGATGGTGTTGGGCAGCCCAAAGGCGAGCAGTTTGGAGCAAGACATGCCCCTGGTCCTGGGATGTACTAGAGCTAACTGTTTCGGCAGATGCAGGCTATTATGCTTGCTGCCGTCCGAGCCTGAACACGATAGCTACGACATCACGACGCACCATGCAAGCAACGTGATCGTTCAAGTTTGTTTAAACAGATGAGGTTTGTCTACCGTGGCCAGAGCGCATGGCCGAAGAGCCCGAGCCCCACACAGATCATCTGCTTTGCATGCTTGCTTCGGCACGGCACTAGTTCCTGCTACCTGCCCCTAGGTCAAAGCATCGTCAACCATGTGAGGTGCTGAAGGATCGCGTATCTCCTTCAGTTCGATCGGTCATGTCGCAGCCAGTTTGAAAGGATAGGCCAAGCTTTCTGGCAGACACATTCCGGGTCAGGATCCGGGCGATGAAGTTGTCCAGTCGGCTACCCAAGAGACCACTGACACTAGTGACATGACGTGAAGTTAAACGCGTGCCGGAAGCCTTAGATCCTTGTTTTTGCCATGAGGCCGTTTGTCCGCGTCACCCAGTACATGGCTCACGGTGGGGTGTCGGGGCTGGCATGCAGCCCGCTGCGCCCTTAAGAAAATCCCAGGCTGGTTCCATGCTGGGCATTTGATGCTGAAATCTTTCCAGGCATGACTACCTCTTGACAGCAACACAGCAAGATGGCTCAGGCCTTCTGCGAGTAATGCACAGGGCGTTTGGGATTCCTTTGGTGGCCTTGGAAGGTGAAGTGCAGCTTTTTCGTGCAGCTGACTGGGAGGCCGATCCTCTCCTATTGTGTCTCTGAACGTTCCCCGTGCTTGTCATGGCAGGTCGCCTACCAAGACGTTTGTCGTCAAATCCTCAGAAAGACAGCTCTCGCAGAAAAGACGGGGAGCAACCTAAGTCCCGGCAGCGTGTTCGTCGGGGCACTAAGGTCCCGATGCTCGGCTTGCAGGTCAAAGTGGCGGCTGTGGTTTGGCCTGGACGGAATGCGTGGACCCGAGGTCGCAAAATTACGCTTCTCTAGGGAAACATATTGAAAGCACTCGCATCCGACTGGAGGCCGTCAGCATCTCCTGTCTGCTTGCAGTGCAGGCCCCCATTATAGCAGAAGAAATGAAGAGGAAGTCGCAGATACTCGGACCTCTGCACTACCCACTCTTAGTGCAGGTGTCAGTGAGCTCGCATCTCACTTGCAGGCATTACCTGCTGGGACATAGAAGACGGCAAAGCAACTGCAAGCTTTGCCGAAGGCTCGCGGATCTTCCTAGTCAGATGCCTGCATGTACAATGTCTTGTCAAGCCTCCAGATGGCCGTACGGTGACTGCCGTGACCGCAAGTCGCTGCCTCAGCTTCCTCTGGATTTCTTGACGCGCCAGATCTTGACAAAGTCCTGGAAGACTTTGGAGATATCAGGTTCATCCGAGAAGGTGTTCGTTGCCGGTGCCAATGATGGCCATGCAATCTGGGGTGACTTGCGAGCAGGCCGGCCCTTGTTTGCATGTTGGGGAGATATCAAAGCTGTGGATGCGTCTCATTTTCCAGGAGCGACGCCCACCTTGTGGGAGGCCCATGAAGGACCCGTGCGGTGTGCCGCGTTCGCAGAAGGCCTGGCAGATCCCTCAGCTGAGCCGATGCTGTTGCAGAAGCCCTCGCTCTTCCTGGAACTTCCAGAGGCCTGAGCCCCTCAGTCTGTGAGAGGCAGTGCGTCGGGTACCAGCCTTCTGGCCACGGGCGGTGAAGATGGTGCTGTACAAATTTGGGACACGAGGCGAGGCAGAAGTGAAAGCCCTCATTTGAGATAACACCAATTCATGCTTTTCCATTCAAGCAGGAGGGGCATCATGGGGAATCAGATCTGTCGCAAGACGCCTGTGATGCTTCGATGGAGGAAGCTTCGAGTTTCGCTGTGCAGATTGAGCTGGCCAGGTGCGCCGCAGTCTTGAGATCAAGAAACGCCAGCAGTAGGAAGTGTGAGAGTTCAAAGCAGGTTGCTGTTGCAATCTTTTGCAACCGGCGGAGTGCACACGCCGTGGGTGCGCTCTCTTTGGTGAGTTTCTTTGGTCCAGGGAGCGCCTGTGACGGCGTCGGACATCTGGCTTGGGCTCCTTCCGCTGACAGCACGCCCTTTTCCTGGCATGTGCACAGTCTGACAGATCTGACAGTCGCCCTGCAGCTGAGCTATGCAGTTATGCTGACTAACAAGTTCCCATTTAGCCAGCCTCTCTCTCCTGCTTTTCGCGAGCTGTCCTTGCAGAGTTGCTCCACTCAGAGAGTCGAGCACGGATCTCCGGTCTTCACGCAGCCACGTGTTCTCGAACTTGTGTCCTTTTGAGCCATATTGGCTGATCCAATCTCATGGAGGCGCGTTCTGGTGGACGAATCTGATGCACATGGTAAGCCCTGGTGACCCCTCCTCAGGCAGACGATGACACGAGGAGCTGGGGCGGCGGCTACCTGATTAGCCCGGCAGCGCCCGGAGCCCCTCGCCTTCACGAAGCCTCACGCCCTGAGCTTGAGCTGCCTGCGTCGCCTCAAGGGTGGCTGTGGTGGTTCTGAACATGTTTTGGGCAGGTAACAAACAAATCAAAACATTCCCAGTAGGATCCGTCAAATGCAGCTTGAGTCGGCTCAGGTCCGCTCCGAGGCCCGGAGCGATGAACATCTCTGCGTGTGTGGGCGCTTGTGTGATGTTGGTCACCCCAACAAGCCCATGCGCTGCACCATGAATCGTGTTCGTCTTGGTCTGCGGTTTGCACGGCACGGTGGAGTGCAGTCCTGCGCAGTCATGCAGGAGATTCAGCTGAACGACGAGCTTGTCTCCATTCTGTGTCATCGTAGCCGCCGCCGCCTTCGTGACCTGCAGTATGCTTGCAAGGCCTGATGGGATGGGGGTAAACTGGATGATGAAGGAATGTCGCCCTACTGCATCATTGGTTTGTAGGTATGCAGAAAATGCAGGGGCACTGTGACGTGCCCTGGAACGTGCCAAAGGTCACCATGCGACTGGACCGGACTCGACAGACCTTGAGCCTCACAGGCTCTGATGCCGGCATTCAGGCCTGGCCTCAGGCTGCAGTTGCACCAGGCATTCGCGATACGAGGTGCTTTTAGACTCTGCTGAGCAGGCATCTGCAGTCTGTTGAGAGTGATCGCTGGTACGGTCAGAGCACATGCAAGTGCGCATGTTGATGCATTCTGTGTAGTGTTGCGCGTCTTCTCCTCTGACAGATGGCCAAGCAACAGATCGAGGGCTTGTCAGGCCAGCCTTGGGAGCTTGGGAGATCAGTTGGCAGTTGAACCGTGTTTCTACCTAAGCCACCAGGGAACAACGGGGCCTCAGATGGTATCTTTGCAAAAAATGTATATGCCCACATGTCAGATGACATCTCAGATTACATCTGGCATCTGAAGCCTCCGGTAGAGCAGCTGGCTCTGACAGGTCCTCGGCGTACGGTGCCTTTGAAGGCACCCGAGCTGTGAATTTGGAATTTGGACAGACTGTGCGGTTGTTGAGTGGCGGTTGGCAGCATCGGGCAGCCCAAGGCCCAAGGCTTAGCATGGCAAGCTTCATCAAGCTTCTTTGGTGCAGGTTTGGGTAGAGCTGATGCGAACGCGGACGCTGGCGTTGGATGACTTGAGCGAGCCAAAGACCGTGTCTGTGGCGTGGGTGCAGGCTGCCGTTGGTGTTGTGAGTTTCTGCATCTGATTCCATGGACCAGCCTTCTTAACGGGCATTCTTCTACATTCCGTGCGCCCGTCGCTCCAGCTGTTGACAGGAACGTAGTGGCTGCCGACTCCACATTGAGCGTGGCAGCTGCGAGGTCTGGGTGCCGAAGTTTTTTTGGGGTTCTTGGTCTCCGGAGCTAGCAGTGTTTAGGGCTTTGGGGCTTAAGGCAGCACACAGTCAGACAATGCCAGACAGGTGCGCATCTTCGGCAGCCAGAGTGGTGCGGCGATCGCCAGCAAGATCATCGACGAGTCCTGACCGTTATTCTCTGACCTACATACCTGGTCCATGTTGCCTCCTTCATCAAGCCAGGATGTCAGGATATGTCTTCCTTCATCGAGCCAGGATGTCAGGATATGTCTTGCGCAAGGCTGGATCTCTTCTTTCCTCCTCTTGAGACACTCAGAACTGCGTCCGGCACATACGAGAACTGGGGGCTCCCAGGCTCACAAGGCTAAGCATATCTCTCTTTCAGGGTTTCATGGGTTCAGTGCTTACCGGGTGGATCATTGAGCCCGAAATGTGCCTGTCAATGCAGCAAAGGACATGGAGCCGCTGTGCAGCGAGGAGATGATCCATGTTCGCGGGGATCCCTCGATAATGACCTGGCCTCAGCTCACCTTGCATCCTCTGCCACGTCTACCACCAGCCCTTAGAGCACTTTTCAGTGGGATGGCTGGCTAGGTTGTCGTCAAGAGAGAGCCTCTCCTAGGCGAGTTTAGGAGCGCAAAAGAAGAATCAGATAAATAATAAGAAGAAGAATGATGAAAAGGAGAAGCTGAAGAAGAAGAGCAAGCAGAGGAAGAAAAACTAAAATTAAAATAGTAATAAGAAGAAGATAGAGAGCGGCAGATTTGTGTGTATGTGTATATATATATATATGTGTGTGTGTGTGTGTGTGTCACCAGTGACCTCGCAAACAACAGCTGGAAGCTCTGCTAGCGGAAGACATGTTTATATTCACGCCTCTCGTGCCAAAGCTTCAAAACGAGATGCCAAAAGCAACGCTCTCACCAGGTATTTGGGCCAAGTAGCCCAGAACGGATTGTGTAGGAGAGGCGGTTGAGAGTGATAGCGCCAGAAGCCCTCACTAACATCTCGCTAACATCTCACTACTGAGTCCCAGGCAAGAAGCGTTGCTCTGTCAAGCAGTGCTGCGGTGCTGACATCGCCAGCAGTGGTTCATGTTACGCTGAGGAGCTCTCCTTCCCTGCAGAGCATCGCACATGCTGCCCAGCTGCACTTGTGAAGTTGTGCCACGCTTTCTCCATGAGTCCTAGGTATTCCTAGGCATCAGGTTGTCATCGCAACAAAATGATCCTTAGGCTTGCAACGCCACCTTCCGGGTCCAAGGACCCCCCGCTGCACTTGTGACATGTCGCTTTTGCAAGCTACTGCAAGCTACCACTCACGCGCATGCCCCTGTACGATGGTTCCACGATGGCCTATTGTCGTTAGCGCTGCGTAGCACTGTGTGGCCGAGGCCTTGGCATCGCAGTGCTGGGTCTGGAGGCGAATGTCGCGAAGGCCGTTGCGCAACTGGAGCGCTTTCTCGAGGATCCTCAAGGCCGGTTCTGGTCCTGTTTCGGGTTGAGTGGTGCTTGCTGAGTTTTCTTGTGAGGTCCTTCAGACCACTTGGTTCAAGTCGTTTGTTGTGTGCCTGTGGGCTGTTGATCCAAAACCTGCACGGGTTCGGTGCCATGCCCAGGCTACAGTTTGCCAGAGGATGGAAAGCAGGCACTGCCGTGAGCATCTTCTGTAATTCGTCTGCTGCACTTGGGAGGAAGAACTCCAAAGTCATGGAGTTATAGATGGGTTTTGGGTTCAGCAGAGGTGAGGCCTTATGAAGGGCACCCAACAAGACCACAGAATGTAAAGAATCCCCATGAATCCCCCACATCCATGCTGATTACGCAGCTTGAAGGAGGTCCGGCCTTTGTCGTCATCGAAACCCGCGTCCAAGATGGTGGTACCATAGCTGCAACAGCAATAGCCTAGTGTACCGCCGCGCTGCCTTTGCTTGAGAAATGTGGGCCGGCGTACTGTGGACATGTAGAAACAGCCACCAACAAGGAGTCTGAGCCGAAGCGCTGTGAGAACGCCACTTGCTTGCAGAAAGTTGGAAGGGCAGCCTCCGATGTGGCGGATCGTAAGCCGAGGTGTGTCCAACTTGCCACAGCGGCCCTTTTTGTAGCAACTGTGGACAGCTGGTTTGGCGGCCCGGGTATGCACCAAACCAGGCTGGCTTCTAACTGTCTTCTTATTCGTCTCCGACAATTCTTGCAGCTCTTTGCTTTGCAGGCGCCGTGCGTTTCACCAGCAGCCATGCAGTACCAGTGGCTCGACTTAAGTGAGTCATGATGTGCATAAGAAAGTTGCAGGGCCCCAGGAACAGAACGCGGAGATGCGCACAGATGCACAGATGCAGCTGCAGTACTACCGAGGTTCGTGGTCATGCAGCCCATGGAGGCCAGAACGTCACGAGAGACAGCAGTATTTGAAGACCGGGTGCAGATTCACACATTCCATGTCGGGATCTTCTGCAGGCTGGCAACATGAACTGTATGATGCCGAACATGCAGTCGATGCAGCCGATGCAGTCCATGCAGTCCATGCAGCCCATGCAGTCAGCGATGGTGCCAATGTGCATGCCTGGCATGCAAATGGCAACCGTCCTGCATCAAGTTCAGTCTCAGGTCCCTCATAAGTTTGAGTGTTTTGTTTCGACACATCGAACATGCAAACCTCACCTTAGGCAGTTGCGATGCCGTTTCCCAGATGCACTCGGAGATTGTGCGCTCAGCAGCCACATTGAGATTGGCTGCTAGTGACCCCGGGTGACCCAAGATCTGAGGCAGCAAGATCTTGCAATGGGCGGCTGATCGGCGGCGCGTCTTTTATCGTTGGACGCGTGTAGCGATGACTGGCCAAGGCACAAGTAGAAATTTGTCAGACATACAAGCGAAAAACCCACGTGCATACAGGTAAAGACCGGGAAAGACCGCAAGCAAGCAAAATTGTTTGGCCACTCCTGTAAGCTAGGCTTTGGGCTGGGGCTGGCAGGTGTGGATACCGCATACACATCATGCAAAGACATGCGCCGCGCACGCCATCGCAGCACGTGCATGGCGAAGGGGACATGTGCATGTACGTGCAATTGCAGAAGCGTCCTCTGTTGCCTTAGCTGCCCTGAATGCCTCAACCGAGGCTTTGCTGCCAAAGCCTCGCGCTGTTGGCCGTCTGCGGCCTTAGCGGACGGCAGATGCAAAGGAGCCTGATGGCTCATGCTTAAGAAAGCAGTCGGCCGTCCGCCAGCCGTCTAATGGTTTGATTTGCTTCTTGGAGCTTCTGTGAATGTTTATGTTGATGGCGATGTGATGCGGAAACCACCGCGAGAGAATGTGTGAGCGAGTGTAGCAACGTAGCGGGCTTGACGGAGCCCATGACAGTTTTCGAGGCAAGGCCGCAACAGTCGATTTTCAACCTGCTCACATCGGGATGCAATCCTGATGGGGTGAACTTTTTCCTTTCAAGTTTTCGGACGACGAAAGCACGGCAAATGTGCCAACTTCTTAAGGCCACTAGCAGTTTGTCCCACTATGTGTTGTGTCCCACTATGTGTTGACTCGTCCAGCCAATTCGAAACTCGCGCTGCGCATTAGTTTGGCCGAAGCAAGTTGTATATGCATCAGCTCCTATTGCTGTGTACTGCCCGGCGAAACACCTCCGTCAAAGGACCCTAGTTAAACCCGAAACCCTAAACCCTAAACCCTTAACCCTCTTCGGGCTGATTCTGGCCACTGTCGTCTGATGTGCAGCGCCCTTTTCGGTGGCGACCATCCGCCACCATTTCTCCTGGTTCCATCTGTTCCTGTCAAGCACCTGTTTCACTCCTGCCAGCTGGCTTTAGATATTCTGACATCCTGTAGACATACATAGCTTTGGAAAGAACCTGATGTGTGGAGTGTAGAAATACATAGCTAGGAAAGAACATGATGTGTGGAGATGCCTTCCAGCTGGCAAAGGATCTGCCTGCAGAGAATGTGCTACGACTGGCTATGACGTAATTTGCGTGAGAAGAATTCTGACAGCAACTGCAAGAAGAGGTTGCCGTCCGGTGCACTCTGCAGAGGAGCCTCGAACAGAGGCTGCATGATCGTAACAATACCTGCTGCGAAGAAGCACTGCACCAGCAGTGGTGACTCGCCCAGAAGCAGCAAGCCTCTCAAGCGGGTGTCGAAGGGCAGGCCCCGAAGAGGAAGTGTAGGCTCTAACTGCCACGCTGCAACATGTGCATCTTGCACATGGCACGGGCAGATCGCTATGTGCAGTGGTAGATTGGTGATGGCTTCCAGAACTGACTCATAGGCCCCAGTTTAGTGCAAGAATTGTTGGCCCAGCATTGAAACAACAGTGTGTGGAGCCGTCAGGGCTGGGGGCTGCTCTCCCAAACCAGTGTCTCATACCTCTATGCACAATGGTGCAACAAAAGCTCTGTGGTTCGCCCTTCTGTCAAGCGGAAGTCACCTGATCAGATTTTAGGGTCTCTTTCATTTGGAGCCCGACTGCCCCCGATTTCGAGGCTAGTTGCGGCTTATGGAGATGGGCGAGTGGTGCCTGAACCTCAGCTGAACCCCTCGAGGCTGAGGCGTTTTGTCACCTGGCAAAAGAGGCTCTGGGACACCCAGCAAGCTGGCCTCCAGCCGAAGGAGGTCTCCAGCCTGGGCGCAAGTTTTTGCAAGCTTAGTGCGCTCCTGGGGCCAAGACACTCGCAGTCAGGTTCCTCTGTCTGCCAGCTGTCTGCCAGGTGTGTGAGGAGCCTGCTGGAGCTAAGTTTGCCGAGGCCTTAGCTTGCACTTGCTGCCTGCTCGTCCTCTTGGCACCACGCCGCCTCGTTGTCCTTTTCTCACAGAAGCTAACAACTTGCCAAGGTTCATGGAGCTCATTCGGGCCAGAAGGTGCGTGGCCGGAAGCTTAGCATCAGACGCCCTCGTTTCGATTACATGATGGGGGTTCTGAGCTTAAGTCTTTGATCCTCCTCATCACTTCAGAGGTGTGGCTTGGAGCAGAGACTGTCCCTGGCTGCTTGCCTCCGCTGCAAACGAGGCAGCAAAAGTGCATTGCTTGTATGTGCAAGCCATGAGAACAACGTTGCTGTGCAAAGGGGTCATTCCGCAACGGCAAAAGACAAACCACTGTCAGCGTATGACGGGAAATGAAGACAAGGGTACCGCAATGCACCGCCGAAGTTGGATTGGACTCTGCGGCGCCGTCACGGCTGCCATGCCTGTAGGATCTTCACTTCTGGCGACCATCGTCCGTTCTCTTCCCTGGCATGCTCTCAGAGGCCAGGGTACGGAGCTGCTGAAAGTGCTGACTTTGTTTTATGTTGCGGCAGCAGCTTCTGAGTTGTTTCTGCAGAATCTTGGAGGGAACCAAGAGTCGTATTCAGTACGGGACAAGACTGTGGATTTAGGATACCACCTTCAAGGTAGTGCGCTTTCCAGCTGAGTGTTGTTTCTTTTTCTTGTGCCTTCGCGCGCTCGAAAGGTGAGGTGACAATGTCGAGATCCTCCCCGGTGAATTCGCTGGTCTCACATGGTGCGGATGTCTACACTTCTTGTGGTCGAATCTTGCAATCAAGTCCAGGCGACCTCGACACCGCGCCCAGTCTTGTTGTGTCAGGTCCTTTCATGAGATGAGTAGAGGCCGTCTTTGTGAGCAAAGATGGCCAATTTGGCCAATCCATTGACTCTCCGGGCTATGTTTCAGGATGTGCTTAGATGAAAAAGCCGAATCCTCGCACCGGCCCGCACGTGCAGTGATAAAGCAGCATCAGCCAAGCACCAGCCAGGGCTGACTGCTTGGAGCCGGGTTTGCACCTGCAGCTTGGGTTAGCGAAGGTCAAGAGATGTCAAAAGGGTAGAGCCATATCTGGCAATGTGCTACTCGTATTAGCTTGTTGCATCCGTGCTGACAAAACCGTTTTTTGGGGGCACACCGTGAGATTCCCTCGGTGGCCCGCGGCCATGCCGGCCGTGAAGCTGGAACGTGTTGGGCGAGTTGCAAGAATACTCTTGAACATGCCGGAGAAGATGAATGCCATGACGTCACAAGTAGTGGACGATTTTGGCAGGGTTCTCGACAGGATCCACGCTGATGCGTCGGAGTATGGTGCTGTGGTGATTACAGGTGCCGGCAACTCATTCTCAGCTGGTGGCGACCTTGCCTGGCTGAAGCTACGGAGCAAAGACACACCCTCCAGGAATTCCCAGATAATGCATGACTTCTACCACCGGTTCCTTGCGATACGCTCTCTGCCATTGCCGGTCGTGGCTGCAATCAATGGGCCGGCTGTGGGAGCTGGCATGTGCCTGGCCATGGCGTGTGACATCCGAGTGGCCTCCCAAACTGCCAAGATGGGCTTTCCGTTCGTCTCCCTGGGACTCCACCCGGGCATGGGCGCTTCCCACATGATTGCCAGTGTCGCTGGATTTGAGACCGCCTACCGGCTTCTTCTCACGGGAGACTTGGTGACGGGACAGGAGGCCAAGGAGACTGGGATGCCAAACGCGTGTGCAAAATGTGTGCAGCATATGCAAGACAAGTATCAAGTTCTGGACACTGTGAGCCCTCTTCGTGTGTTGCCTTTGAAGGAGATGCGCCTGGTCTCGCAGTTGGCGCCCGATGGCCCCTCGGCCCAGGCGGAGGCGATGGCGCTGGCCGAGCGCATCGCCCGCCAAGCGCCCGTGGCCGTCCGCTCCCTCGTGCGCTCCCTGCGCCGCAAGCAGGAGGAGGGCCTGGAGGCGGCGCTCTGGCGTGAGGCCGACGCCTGGGCCCCCGGCTGATTTTTGGGCTCATCCCGGTGCCTTGAATCGCGCTTTGCTGCTTCGAACTGAGGCTCAGGCCCACTGCTACGCAACCCACGATCTGCAAGAGGGTCTCAAGGCGGGTGAGGGCAGCCCTTGTTGTCATAATGTACAGTAGCTGCCTCTGAAGAGAGGCGTCGCGCGAGCGGCGGGCTCCGCGCTGCATCCTTACCTGAAATCAATATGCAAAATGGAGGGCTTTTGGAGAGTGGGTTGGAGCGTCTGGTGATGCAATGGCGTGCGAGCCCCGAGGCTTTGAACTCAACGAAAGCTATGCAGACACTGATCCGCCGCCAAAGCCAAAGAGCAATTTGTGAGACGAGCGCTCGTCCTTTCAAGTGCTGTAGTAGTGTTGGCTCTCGCAAGCCTGTGCCTGCCATTTCCCGGCGAGTTGGGATGGCACGAGGGCAAAAAGAGGTCGCACAGTGGGCAAAGGTCCCAAGGACAATGCAAGCCGAATCTCCAAGACTCTCGAGTACCTGATGCACAGGAGATGCGCTGAGCCGAATACTCGCCGAAGAAGCAGCGAAACAGGCGACATCACCTTCTGACGCGTGCATATACGTGCGCGCAGCATGGCCAGTCTAGCTCAACTCGACTCAGCAGAAGTTGTTGCCAGGCGGCCAAAGATGATGCCGCAGCCAGGAAGCGTGAGCGAAGGCAGGTCCTTTGGCATCGTGAGGGATCCTTGAAACGCAAAAGCAAGTCTCGGCGTTTTTCTCCGCCACAGGCCCCCAGCTTTGTTGAATGGTTATGCTCTGGACAGCTGCCGGGACTGCAGAGGGATCGATTGGGCTGCTTCTGTTGGCAGGAAGCGGAATCGTCAAAAGGCCATGGGCTGGTGACAGGGAGCGTGCACACGTTCACCAAGCGCTGGCCCTGAAGCAGGCGACGGACGCTGAGAGCCATGCAGAAGGTGATGTCGATGCCAGATCGGCGAGAATCAGCAAACCTAAGTGGCGTGCACTGTAGAGCACGATGTCCTGCCAGATTTGTACAAGTTCCATAGCGTTCGTCAGCAAGCCGATCTGCAAACGCCATTTTGGTTGACATTTCTGCTCAAACCATCCTGGTCTCGGTGACGTTCTTCTCCGAGCAGCACCGCGCCAAGCTAGAGCATGGTAAGGGGGGAATGGTTGGTCCGAAACGTTAGAAGACTCGCCCGAGGCTTCGACGAAGAGCGCTGGCGGCAGTCGCAGGGCGTGCCCGATACTCGGCACGGCTTTGGCGCTTGGACTGCTTCAAGGGGCTGCTCTTTTGATCTTGGCATGTTTGGCAAACCTTGGAATGGTTTTGCAGCAGACTCTGTCGCGCGAGGCTGCGATGCCGCCCAAGGCCTCCGGCTCAGCTGGACATGGCTTGGCCAGCCTGGCTTGGCCAGCCTGGCTTGGCTCTGCAGCTCCAAGTCGCGCTGTTGCGATGTCTCAGGCGCCCGCTATCGGGAGCCTGCGCACCGAGAGAGGGCTTGCGGAGCTCAACGAGCTACTTTCCTCTAGGCGCAACGTCACGCAAAGCAACCTTTCTGATGCTGCGGCTTTTCTTTCCCTCCGCTGCTCCGAAGTCTGTGGTTTGAGTCCGCACGTTGCGCCAGGTCCTATGTCGGTGGCACCTACAATGCCACAGCTGAGGAGCGTGGCAGCTTCTTTCAAGGAAAGTAGCGTGCCAGCTACGACATTTTGCCCACTCTGCATATCATTGCAGGACATGACGCTTTTTGCCCAAGTTCACTCTCGGCCAGACCCACAGCAGGCCTGATCTGCCCAGTGCGCGGAAACCGGCTTCTTGCACCAAGCTCTTGTTGCAGTACCCACACCTGCTGAGATGGCTCGGGGCCTCAAGAGCCGATTTGTGTATCTCCGTTCATGCTTGGGATGTGTGCAGCTGAGGTACAACCACATCAGCGGTCTGCGAGCCCGCTATGCTCCGTACCACCTCTGGCCAGGGCAAGCTCCCCCGGCCTCGCAGGCCTCGCAGGCCTCGAAGGCCTCGAAGCCCTCGCAGGCCTGGGTTCTGCGTGTGAAGCGGTAGGCAACAGCGAGCTAAAAGGAAGCACACAACAAGGCTGGTGAAGGAGCAGCAGCACAGGAGTCAAAGAAGGCTCGGACTGGCATGTCACTGTGATGACATGAGTGCTACCATATGAGATGAGTCGGTGCTTATCTCCGCACATGCTTGCCCCAACGTTGGCGACAACTTCCTTTTGCTCCTACGTCGCTGACTGACCAACCTGTACTGACAGAGACCCAGACGGGGGGCAGGGAGGGGCGAGCTAGCCAGCTTGAGTGAACGCCAGGGGCCACGAGCACCTGGCAAAGAGAAGCAAGTTCTGCCGTTTGACTGCAAGGCGCTCTGGACCTCGCACAGGGTCTCGCGCCCTTTCTAAAAACAATATAATTCTACAAGAACCCAAGAATTGGTGACAAAACCAAGTGAAAAACCGCGAATACAGAAGAGTGCTTGTGCTTGCTGATCCAAAGCCACAGCCCGTTGGAGGGAAGTTGGCTGGGGCAGGTCGAGCCGGTCGAGAATCGACGTCAGGTGTGTGGAGATGACTCAGTGAAGCGAGGGACAGGCTTGGCAATGGCTTGGCATCCCTTCAACAAAGCCAAAGATGCGCTTTGCTGTGCCACAAGTATCCCTAGATGGTCACTTGTTACGAGTGTGGCACGTCATTCATTGGGTCTAGGCGGCACCTGCTTTCCTGGTGCTGAAAAGGGGTCCCATGGGCGGTGCTCGCCCCAGCGGTGTCACGAAGGCTGAGTGGGGCTTGCTTTAATCTTGAAGATTTGTTAAGGTACTACATTACCACCGCCATCAACTATTGCAACGGCTGGCCTCACATAGGCACGCGTGTCAACATGTGGCACTTGTAGTGTTAAGTAGCAGACCTGGGAGATGCGACCATGTGACACTTCCTCGCGCCCCGTTCACACTGAGCCCACGGGGTTGGGGCAAAGCATGTCGCCTCTCTTTGAAGGCCATGCCTATGAGGCGCTCACCTCGGACGTTTTTGCGAGGCCCGAGGGGTGCATCAATCTGGGAGCTCTCCAATGGCTGAATGTCTTCAGGTACCACAGACTGCTCGGGCAGGATGTGTTCTTCATGACTGGTGCTGATGAGCATGGGCTCGTTGCTCAGCTTCCCCTCACCTTCTGCTCACCTTCCCCTCACCTTCCCTCACCCTTCCCTCATGTCCCCTCGCCGTCGCCGGGATAAGAACACATGAGATTCACAGGCAGAAGATTGCACAAGCCGCCGAGAGTGAGGGCCTTCAGCCCCAAGAGATCTGCGATCGCTACTGTCGCGGCCTCGGTATTACACGTTCCGCATGTGGCAGAGGCCCTCAACCCCCTAAAGACTCCCTCGAAACCGGGGTCGACTTCCAGGCCTTGGTTTCAGGGCGCTCAACCAACGTTTAAACGCCGTGGGCCGAGAGGCTTTCAGTTCACGCGTGGTGCGCGCGGAGAGGTTTGCTTCCTCAGCTTCCTCAGCTTCCTCAGCTTCTTCTGAGGTGTCGAATGATTTCTACGTTCGCACGACCGCAGAGCGCCATAAGGTCCCAGCCCAAGAGCTTAGAGCCCTTTCTTGAAGCCCCGTCGGTCAAAGTGGTATGGAAAAAAGATGCTGACGCGGAAGGGAATGTGTTTTGGGATAGAAGAGCATGATCGTGGGCCTTTTTGCTTCCGAGTCTTGCTTGGATGCAGCTATGCTGTTCGGTGAGATGTGCCCGCTGCCCGAGGCGGTTGCGAGATCAGTCTGGGATACTTGTAAGAAGAAGGGGGACATTTACCTCGACCGCTACGAGGGCTGGTGCGCCTGAGTCAGCAAGAAATTGACCGACTCATACGTAGCTCCGACTGACTCAGTCTTCCCGTGAATATGCGCTGTTTTTCGGGTTGTTTAGAATTGGGGTCCCTCTTCGCAGTAGAGAACTCTCATAACAGGAACCCCTCCCCCTCCCCCTCCAAGGCATTCTAATCTGAGAGCAACTTCTAAGTCCTGGCACTCAGGCTAACACCATGGTGCCCCTTGAAAGCATCTCCGGACCCCCTTGCAAATCCTGAAACCCCCCCCGAAACCTTAGGCCCCTCTGAAGCCCCGAAGCGCTTCATCAAAAGCTCCATGAAGGCTCCATAAAGCTCCAGGTACATGGTCCGGGAGGAGCGGTTCATCACCGACCAGGAAGCGCAAGAGTTCAACTTCAAGGCCTTGGGGGGGAGGGGGGAGGGTTTTGGGCAGACTTTTATGGGGTTTTGGAGGGGCTTTTTGCTGTGTACCCTACGCAGCGGGAGCCTCACCTCTATGAAGTCCCGAGCAGACCCAGCCCTCTGTGACCAGAGGACCCGACCTCTGGAGCTCCACTGAAGAAGATGCTGCGCGCCCAGCAATGGGAGTTCACTTGGATGCGGGAGCTTGTGGAAGCTGTGGATACCAAGCTCTGTCGGTGCGGGTGGGTCGCACTTGGTTTTGCCTTTCCACCGCTTGGGCGAAACCCCTTCAATGTTGAGCCTCTGAGCATATGACTTCCCCCCCCAGCCTCTGTGACCCTCGCAGAGCGGATGCGCAAGGTCTGAGCCAAGCTTCTTCTTCCGCTTGTCCAAGTACCAGAAGGCGGTCATCAGCCTGATCGAGGTGCCGGGGGAAGCGCCTTGAGAGCCGCAGCCGCCCTCCACAAGCAATGCTTGTGTCCCCAAATGTCGAGGAGAAGCCGGAGTTCATTCAGCCGGCCCAGCTTGGCCCTTAGTTGGGTAGTTGGGGGTCAGTCATGGTCTAGAGTCATCGTTGAATCGGCCTTGAGATGTTATTGTCACCACAAGTTGCCACGTCCTTTGGGCGAGGTACAGAGGTGAGATCCTTGAGCGGCTGAAATCGATCGAGGTGGTGTTGCTGTTATTTGCTGCTTTGTGCAACCCCATGACCTTGTGGCCTTAAATGGTCGCCTCGCAACCGCAGCTGCTTGAACAGCATGCCCGAACGGCATGACATAATGATAGCGGAAATCGCAGCTTCAGCGCAGTTTGGCGGTACTTCGCGCATGAACTGGAGTCAGAACGCAAGCTAGCGCAGCGAGCCCAAGCACCGAAGCGGTAGATATCGCTGAGCCGCCATGCCTGCCGCACAGATCCTGATCGTCGGAGCCGGCGTGACCGGCTCGATGTTGGCCTTGCTGGCCAAAGACATGGGCCTCTCCGTGCGTGTGCTGGAGAAGTCACGAGGTGCAGGTGGACGGATGGCCACCTACAGCTATCGCCAAAGCGACCGGTCCTCTCCGGTCCTCGGGCAAGCAGATCTCGGAGCACAGTACATCACGACCAGGAGCTCACCAGAGCATCCTGTGTTGGGCCCTCTTTACAAGCGCCTTCTTGACGCTGGCGTCTTGAAGCCTTTTACCGCCGAGATTGCGGGGCCGAACCCTTATGGTGCGGCAAGTGCGGACGTGCGTCACTTCACGGCTCCGGACGGGTTGAAATCAGTGTCACAGTATCTGCTCGAGTCGTCGGGCGTGCCTGTGGATTGGGGTGCAGCTGTGGATGACTTGACCTTGTCAGAGGCAGGAGAGGTCTCCGTGTCGATCAAAGAGGGATCGCTGCCACCAGACGCTGCTGCAGCCAGTGTCGTGGTGCTGACGCAGCCACCGCCACAGGTCTTGGGTGCCAGCAAGTTTGGCATGCGAGGCAGCTTTCTGCAGCATACGCCAGAAGCGCTCACGACGAGCCTCAAGAAGGTCGAGTACTCCTCGCGATTTGCAGTGGCATATTTCTTTGACAAAGCCAAGGTTTCGTGGCCCTTTTCTTGGACCTGCCAGTACTTTGATAAAGGTGATGTACGTTACGTGGCGCATGACTCGGCGAAACGCCACGCTACACATGAGACAATGATCTCTGTGCTGGTACACAGTGGCGTCCCTTTGGGCATTGAGTTGCAGAATGAGGAGGACTCTGCCACTGTCGTGTCGTGCACTTTCTGTCCAGTTCCCATACAGGATCCTAACCCCTACAGCATTCTTTTCCATCTTCGCTTCGCTGCCATTCCTCTCTCAGCCAAAGTTCTGTTTGAGGCAGCTTATTATATAGGGTCCAGGGATGATTATCATGTTGATGAGCAGCGCTCACCCATGTCATACAAGAATTCTGGAGTGTGCAACCATGAGCGTGGTGGCATGCCCAAGCTTAGTTTCAGAAACGAGCAAGGCACGCAAACGGCAGTTCGCAAGCTGTTGCAAACCACTGAACCGCTCAAAGCTAGCTGTAAATTTGTCAGTTACAAGAGCTTGCTGTTGTGAGAGATGCACAATCTGACGAAATCGAATGGGCAGATGTTGCTCAAATCGGTTTTCCATTTATCTTTAGCTGTCGTGCTCCACCATGGCGAGCTGGGCAGACTTCATTAAGTCTGTAGAAACCGTGGAGCCGACGGATGAGATAGTCACGCGAGTTGCCGCCATCTTTTCGGAGCAGCTGGCAGCCAAAGTTCCCTTGCAAGCAGAAGGACTTGCTGAAGATGCGCTGAATGCCAAGCTGGCCAATGAACCTCCAATGGTTGCGGCTTTGGCCAGACGCACGCTCCGGAACGTTGAGGTGGCTGCAGCCGCACGCCGTACGCAAGCATCACAGGGCGCGAATGTGATGGTCGGTGCTCACGCCGTTCAGAACGCAAGGGCTTTGGCATCTGCCATTGCGCCGTGCAAGCAAGCAGATGTTGCCGACCTCTTGCAGAAGCATCATCTCCAGGGATTGGGTTTCCATCTCCAAGCTGATCAGTGCTTGTTCGACAGCCTTACTGCACACACTGAAGAAGCCAAGAAACAAGGTCGAGTGCCGTTTGCCTTCGTGGACTTGACAAGCAAAGAGTGCCTTCCTCTGTGGGTCCCAAGTGATGCCGTGGGCGGAAGGTTCGCTGTCCGTGACGAAGATGAAATGGCATTGACAGGTGCCAGCCCTATTGCCAACCTGGGAGACTTGGGTCGCGCCCTAAAAGGGGCCACTGCCGTCCCGCGCTTCTTTCGTTCTGTGCAGCAGTGGAGCGCGGCGTTCTGGAGATGGGCAATTGCGGCCGTCTGCGCGGGTCATTGGAAAATGACCGAGGCTGTCGCCCACCATGACGTCATTTTGCAGCTGGCAGAGCAAGAACGGGTGAGATCTAAGCCCCCATATGTGGCCTTCCTCTACGATGAGATGTGTCGCAGACAGTGGGCACGCAGGGCAGAAAAGAAAGACCCCAATTGGAACCTCGCTGAAGAGACGCACAAGATCGACAAAGGCTTGCTAGAGCTGGTCATGCAGCGTTTGCAGCCTGTCCTGCAGCAAGCAGGAGTAGAGGTACCTTCCTCTAGCCGTGGGTCTGCGGACGCCATGGCAACCCAGCAACTTGCAACAGCTGAAGCAGCTCAGCGGAGGGCAGAGCAGGCCACGAAGGCCCTGGCAGATGCTCAAAAGAAGCTCATGGATCAGTCGGCTGCTATGACGCAGGACGCCAAAAGGAAGCTTGAAGACCCTGCCAAGCCGTGGTCGACTCTGACCAAGAAGCAGCAGAAGACCCAAGGCTGGTACGAAAAGACTCAAGAGCGGATTCGGCAGCAGAAAATGCGTAAGACTCAACACTGACTCGGGGACACGGCCCTGACCGGCGGACAGCTTCCGTTGCCTGAAGCCGTCGAGCAGCTTCCAACAGTGCAAGAAGCATTGGAACATGTCGATGCGATCCCATCAGCTTCCTTGTTTCTTGAAGTTTTTTCCGGCGAGTGCATCTTCACCCTTGCCGTCATGCTGACTGGTTGGGTCTGCCTGCGGCCGTGGGACATTCGCTTCGGCAGCGAGGATGATGTTCTGGCTTTTGGCGATGCTATCCTAAGGCTGGCCAGGACGGGAAAGCTGGGTTGGGTGCATCTGGCAACGCCTTGTCAAACTTTCACTTTTGCAAGGGTGCCCCAACTGCGCGAAGCTGTTTTTCCTTTAGGGAGCCCCGGAATATCCACGCGACAGCAAATGCTCGTTGATGTAGGTAATTCGCTTGCGTCCTTTTCTGTGAATGTAGCGCAAGCGCAGATTTCAGTGGGCACTTATTTCTCTATTGAAAACCCAGAGTTGTCGTGGTTGTGGGTCTTACCTTGCATACAGGGTCTGCGCTCGCATGAGCACGTAGGCTTTGTGAGGTGCCTCTTCCGTGACTTTGGTGTTCCTTTCACCAAGCCCACCTTGTTCCTGCATAACAGCCCTTGCCTACACAAGCTGGGTTCTTGCCCGCTAGCTTGGGAAGGCAAAACAATTTCTTTGAGGGGGACTGTTGTGTGGGAAGGTCGGACTGTGTTTAAGACCCACTTGGCGCAAACTTACCCGCCACTCTTAGGTGTGAAATTTGCCGAATGTGTGGCGCAGTCACTCGACGAGCGGGCGGCACTCGGGCAGGCTGTTAACGTGCAACAAGGGGTAGATCTCCCAGGCGCTCTGCTTGAGGCTGAGAGACAACAGCAGGAGCTTTTGCAAAGTTCTCCAGTCCCCCATGGCCTCGGAGCCTTGCCTGGGTTATCGCCTCTGGAACATGTGGCGTTCGGGCTGCAGGTTGCTCATCCCTCCGAAAACCCGGCCCCGCTTTGCGCTGAGATGTTGGGTGCTATCCAGTTTGAGTGTGAACATTCTGTTGATGAAATTGACAATTTTCGGCAAGAAAAGCTTTTTCGAATCACACAGCTTCATGCTGTGTTGAAGGAGTTACAGGTGGATTGGGTGAAGCAGGCCCCAAGACCGATAACTGCAGCCCCTCGTGGCGTCCATTCACGGCCCCTTGTGGAAGGCTTTGCTGGATGAGTGTGGGCTCTCGTGCCCCCTGTTTCTCCAGCATCTTCAGCAGGGATTTCCCCTAGTTGGCCCTTTGCCACCGTGTGAAGATGAGAGCTCCCTTCATGACTTTCCAGAAACTGCAACTGTTGACGAGTTGCGGAACTCAAGAAGCTTCTTGAATGCAACCGTTCTGGATTCCTTGAAGGAGCTGCCTTTCTCAGACGATATCTTGCCACAGGTTCTCGCGGATGCCGAGGCGGGCTTCATGACTGCGCCAAGAGCTCTGTCTCCTTTTGACCTGGACGATAAGTCTTTTACTAGAAGGATTCCAGTGAGGGAAGAGCGCTCCTCTGGCTGGCGCACGAGGATAGTGGATCATGAGACTGAATCTGGCAATAATCTGGCGACGCAACCTGTTGACAAGATTAGGCACGACACGCTGGACACGTTGTCTCAAATTGTCATGGAGTTTTTTGCGCGTGACTGCGAGGTCCGGCTTTGGAAGCGCGATGTGTCGCAGGCTTTCCGAAGAGTGCCTATTCAAGCGGCGCACTTAGAGTTTGCGTGGACAGTTTGGATCCATGCAGGAGTGCTGCTAATTTCCCAACATATCGGGATGCCGTTTGGGACAGTGTCGGCAGTGTACGCGTGGCACAGGGTCGGTGCGCTACTGTCCCGCATTCTTCGAAGATATTTCAAGTGTCCAGCTGCGCGCTATGTTGATGATTTTTTCGGCTCATGTAGAAAAGGGCTTAAGTACCACGCCGGTGTCGTGCTAAGCATCGTTAGCAGGCTCCTTGGCTTCCCTACGGATGCTGCCAAGGATGCTGACGATGCAGTTAGCATGGTGTGTTTGGGTGCACAAGTGCAGGCTTTCTTTTCCACGCGCCAACTTCAAACCCATGTTGCCCCAGCGAAAGCGGCCAAGTACATTCGCCAATTGAGCCAAATGCTGCAAACTGGCGTCTTAGCCCCAGGCGAGGCTGCCAAGATTGCGGGCAGATTAGGTTTTTCTGTTACGGTGTCTGGAAACAAAGTCGGCCGCGCTTTTATCAAGCCTTTTCATGCGCAGTCTCATGCTCCGCTGCATGGTTTTTCCAT